AACCACGTGATCACGAACCGCTTAATTCGTTTGAAAAGCTAAGGCAGATGCACACCATACACAAACTAATAAAATTGTGATAGTATGACTCCCTACTCGAATGGAGGAAATTTATATGTACTGAGATCAACACAATATGACATGGAAGGAGGAATTCCCATTATTTGAAATTTGGAAAAGAAATCTCTAAAACATCATGTAACAATATGCAGTTAAATAAAAACAGTTTAACAAGTTGATTGTCAAAAATTCTCTGGACCTTGTCTGTATGTTAAATTACTAAAGGAATCAAATGACAATATGTACCTTACAAAATATATAAAAAATAAATTAATTGCCACATGGTTCACTAGATGGCTTAAATAAATATCAAAACCACACTGGACCAATCCTAATGTAATTTAAAATTCAACTCATAGTGAAATCTACAATTAATCCATATTACATAGCATTAAACATACTGATTAAAAATAGTAGGTTCTCATATAATTACATTCTTTCTTTCACAAATTTGACCTTTCAAAAACCTTCAAACATTCACAAACCTTCTTATTGAAAATTAGTGTGACAGAACCAATATATTGACAATAGTATTAAAAAAATACATGTTGGAAAATTATGAATACATTTATTTTAAAAAGAATACAAAATTTATGAGATAGAAGAATTATCTTCAATCGTCAATCTTTGAAATGTTCAAGGAATGGTTCATTTGTTGTTGTTGCCACATTACTCTGCAGAAACTCATAATAACATCCAAGAAATTAGAGAATGAATCAATTTGATTTTTCTGGCTCCTATAAAAAGTGTATTGCTTTCTCAAATATGTAGTCAGAATCCATTTTGCAGGTCCGTGTTACCAAAAAGGTTTTCTGCAATCCATTTATCTATCAGAAAGTGAACAACACTGGAGCCATTCATAAACCACACACATTTTCACTGAAATTGATACTCCCTGATTGATCTGGTGGTTATCACCTCTTGAATTTGAAAAGGATTTTTTATTTTACAGATACTTTACAAAAAGCCTCTACGGCATATTTAAAATTTTCTGAAAAAGTCTTCAAATTTTTTTCACTAATAAAATATGAGTATGCTTTTAAAAATGTCAGGGGAATGATTTTTAGAAAACCTTTTGAATTGACAAAAATTGCAAAAGTACAAATTTTCTTCGATTTTCTCCTTCAACTTCTACTAAGTTACTACTGCTAGTAATAATAATGATAATGATAATGATAATGATAATAAATAAATAATAATATATAATAATATATAATAATTTCGCAGACGTAATCCTGTCCTTTGAAGTGAGGCACGGAGTTACTGATGCCAAAATTCCTAGAAGGCTACATTGACTCCTGGGAGTCCGGTGTCTTCGGGATTTATAATCTGCCTTGTGCAGTGTCATTCGCATGTTGCTGCAACTTCAACTAAGCTACTACTGCTAGTAATAATAATAATGATGATGATGATGATGATGAATGATAAGATAATATAATAATAATAATAATAATAATAATAATCAATATTATTGAAGTTAGAGTGTTTTACTACCTCACACAAAACAGAGAAAATTTTGTAATTCTGCAGCAAAAAATGGCAAATTTATAACAATTTAGTTTGTCCCTAATACTGAAAAACAGGATCAATCATATTCCAGTAAGTAGAATATAAATCCCTCACAATACATTGTGGAGCCACAATCCACATTCTGTGAGTCCTTGATACTAAACACTGGTTTATAGCAAAACTATTACAGCAAAATTATTTGTCTGCCTGTCTGTCCATCTATAATCAACGCTATTCTCCAAAATAATTATAAGGACTTCTAACATTCGATGACCGGATCACAGTTGTCCATTCATGAGCTACAATACCAAAAATTAAGTCGTAACAAATCTCCCATCAAGATAATTGTGTCCTGCTGAACATATGTTCGAAGGCACTACAATTAAATTAAAGTATAGTGCCTAAATCATTCTGACGGTTTTGTCCCAAACTTCTCGATTGATTTGGCCCAACTCAAGGTCTTGACAATTCGAAACCAATACATTGATTTTTGAGAGCGTATAGCACTCGTCATCAGCCGCGTGTATCTCGGAAAAAGATAATTCATATTTTGGTCATATATTTGCTTATGTTTTGACTGTTCAAACATTTTTTTTTATTGTACCTGGTTTACAAATGGTGACTCTTTTTGTTTTACACCATGTGCCATTTTTTGTGTCTGAATACAATCTTTTCTAAAATTACTCAGCTATGGGTTGTTCTAACATTCTAGAATAAAGTGCATGGAATTCAGTATACTTTGGCCTACAAACTGAAATTTAATTTACAAACCATTTTTTTATTTTTTTCATTTAGGAAATATTTTCAATCAAATCTATGGAATGTGAACGAGCGAAACTCAATTTTCAGACAGTAATTTATCAAAGAAGGAATAGAATCACACACTTAATTTTTTCTGTGCTTTTACACATAACAGAATAGTTACTTTTTGTAAAATATCATTGGCAAGTAACGTGCCACTTAAATTTTACATCCTCTTAAAAATTGGAATTTTGGATTTTTTCCAAGTTTTCACCTGTCATATCTCTGTTGTGAGACCAAATTAAAATATGAAAATTGCATACATGCTAGTTTGCTGTGATATCAAACTTCAGTAAAATTTTCAACTTTTAAATTTAACTCGAAGTACTTTTTTTTAAATTGTAAACTCACAAACACACAAAAAGAGCTTCATAGTGGATGCGTTATGCCAAGGAGTAATCATATTATTTTGTAGCCATTTTAAACTAATAACTACATTGATTTAAAATAATTAATTATACTGTGTTATTAAAATATAAAAGTGACCTAATGTATTATTTTCAGTATTACGAATCCTTTACTTTAAAACAAGCTTACAACTTGACATCTACATTTGTAATTGAAAATATGGTCATCTTGATGTTCCAAGCTGAACCTGCTAACACAAAAATTGTTTATAAAATATAACAAATAAATGAATTCACTGTTTTGTTTATTTTTTCAAATTTAAAGTTGCCATTTTGCTGATTATTTCAGATCCTTTCTTCAGAGATATGGACAGTTGCATAAATAATGTCCGAGTTAATTAAAATAGACCAACTTGGGTTTCTTACAAGAAGAGTTGAAAATATTTTCAAAATTTTCTCAACAATAGCTCCAAATTTGTTTCTTGGATAGACCACAGGACGCTTTAAAAAATGGTGCAGATCCCATTTTTGTTGAATACTCTAAATTTTCAATAAATGCGAAAGTTCAAAAACTTTTTGGCAGTTTCCTACATCTACAGTGATGAAAATACAGATTTTCCTCTTAATTCCTTTTTTCCTAAATGGCATACAATTTTTTGAAAATATTAGTAGTTTTCACTTGATTTTAAGTTAAATGGCGAAAATTTGAATGTTTTTTGACCGTTTCTCGTTTTCAATATTGAAGCTACAGATTTATTTCTTAGTGCAATTAATTTCTCAATTTTAGATCTTTAAATCATTTCATGCAGGTTTTTTCAAGACATGGCTAGTTTTCATTATACCGGGGGAAATTTTCTGAAATGTCAATGTGAACAAAGGACAATGCAATTGCCAGAGAAAGTAAAATAATATTTCTTACCATGCTTTCCTCAAGTAGAGCAGTGTAGACTCAAACATGTGATAATCCTGATTGCCATTAAAACCTGCGACCTTTCAAAAATTGCAAATTTGAATTTTGTACTTCTCTTTGCAGAAGAGAGTCTTTCACAAGATAGCTGATGAGTTGGTTGGATACATTTCACAATATTATAATATGAATATTGCATATCTATTACAGATAAAAAGAGAAAGTATATGCTTACATGCACTCTTGCAGATTTCTTTGTTTTGAAAGAAGAATTTCCTTGTTCTAGAATTTTGAATTTTCTTGTTTTGTTGCGGTGTTTATATCAGACTCCAAATCGAGAATGACAATGCCATGTCATGGCCACATGCGACAATTCTATGAATTTTATTTTTAGGCAACCAAGTATCTTGCTGTATGGAACGCAGTTTGGGAATGTTTATTAATTTGTACTGATGTACTTGCTTTAAAATTATTAGTTTGGTACAAACATTTTTGAGTTTCAAATATCATATTTAAATGATAAAAAAGTATAGGTTTGCAACTTAATTTTTTTTTATAGATTCACAAATTCATTTATCCCTTTTCAGATTCATATTACTTATATTAATAGAATCTCTCTGAAGCTTGTAGAAATTTACTTGCCTGCATATTAGCCTGTGATATCCATTAAAATTGCTTAATCATCTTTATTTTGTAACGGAAAAGAATAGCAACAGTTTCCGGCAGCTGATTTAATTAGAGGTTTGCACCTTATGCACAATGACTGGTAACGAGTTTTAATAGTGATGGCTGAGATATGTGCTTATGGCCAGAAATTGCAGTATTACCATATTACATAATTGTTACTATTGCTTGAAAGTACATGCGGTTATAGCCCAACTAATTTCTCAATAAAATCTGTTCTTCAAAATTATATTTTTAAATAAAATCAACACCACTTATTTAAAAGACGATTATCAAGTAATCTTGAGTGTAATAGTGTGAATAAAAATAATAGGTAAATAAAATTTTCTCAAAAATGGCTGCCTTCTTTTTTTTCTATTTTTCATGAGAAAAGGAATGTTCGCTTAATAATATTGCAGATGTGAGTTTCATTGAAACCTACGAAATTTTGATAATTTGCAAAAATTCAAATTTCTTTTTGATGTACCAAGAGCCATCTTCCATGCCACATGGCTTAGATGAATAGGTCCGTTGGTTGTGGAACCTAAGCGACTTAAAATTCCTCCCCAGGCAAATACTTTTGTAGGTACAACTAGTACTGTATTATTAAACAACTATTACAAATAATGCAAGACTATACGCATTGTTGTAGCTGTTTCAAATGCTAGATTCTTGAGAAAAAGAAAGCATTTTGAAAATTAAGTAAAGTAGACATTTTGATGTCCAGCAGGCAACAGAATCACTTATTATTTACTATCGGAGAATACCAAAGGTGGGGGATAAACATATACATGCATATACTAATAAATTACAACAATACACAAAACTCTTTTATTACATTGAAATTCATTCATGAATTGGAAGAGAAAAAATGAAAGAACTTTGCAAATTAGAACATTTGCACATGTTACAGAATCATCCAGTGTAACTTCAATTAGGTCTCTGCTTCACTGGATACAGAGTGATACACATCGCACAATAAAATTTTGAAATAAAAATAATTTCGGTTAGTTCAAAAAAATAAATAAAGTTCTCAATTTCCACCCGAGTCATTTGCAATCATTCATCCACTTCACTTGAACACAACAGTGTCCAACATTGCACCCAAACACTGTACAATGTTGGTTGTCATGAGAACATCAACTTTCTCTTCCAAATGTCTCTTAGGATCTTGTTTGCCAACATTCTTTATAGCAAGTTGTTCTGGAGTCATCTTTTCTTCATCCTCGAGAGCCTGGAAGGATTGTGGTAAATATAGATCACATTTTTACCTAATTATTTCAGGACTTCTTACAGAAGAACCCGAACTTCATTTGCTAGATTATTAGTTTACAATTATTTAAGTTGATTAAGATGAAATATTTTATCAGTGGTTTCTGGAGAAATTAATCTCTCTTTTAACTCTTATATATTAATTACTGTAAAGGTCATTATTTTCTATAAGACAAGAATGCCCAGTAATTTTTATTGTATAATAGGACTATATGAATAGGAGCCTGAGAGTCCAGAATGGTCGAATTGATGAGCTCCACAGTATTTAGAATAGCTAGAGAAGTGCACTGTACCTTGTTGTAATTGCGAGCTAGATCCAACATATCATTCACAGTTGATTCATTCAACTTGCAGTGTTCAGTGTAATCGGCAAGCATTAAACCATCCATCCAGGACTTCTTGTGCAAATTCAAAAGCATTTTTTGTTCCAGTTCATTTTTGCGATAATTAATGCTTATTGAGTAATAATGTCTATTAAGTCCATGGATTAAAGCCTAAAAACCCATTAAGCAATACGATTAGAAGTGATGTTGTACTGTAATATTGAATCTAAAAAATATTTGTGTTACTAAATGTTTAAATTAGAAAGAAAAAAAAAAATCTACCTGAACAGACGGCTTTTGTAAATGCCCCAAATTTGAAGTAGTTTGCCTGGGTTCCTGTCCCAAGACCATCATATTTGGATTAATTAGTCGAAAAGCATCAATTACAACTTTTCCTGTTTTGAAACAAAAGAAAGGCACATCAAAATTCAATTATCTTGGGTAATTCCACAAATGCACTGGAAATTCCCTAATTATTATCTTGTTTTTTTTTTGGGGAAATTTATAGTGCATGAGTAAAAAGACCATTCCACAAATGAAATAACCATCAATAGCGCATCACAACACACCAAATATCAATTGTATACAGTAGAACCTCTTTAACCTGGACCAGTTTAAGAGAAAAAAAAAGTTGTTTAGCATAGTATCTAAAGTTTTATTTTAGACAATAATTCGCTATTCTCAGCAGGTATAACATGAATTCACTTGCCAGCGGTCGAGTTCATTGTCCTCACCCTAACTGCCAAACCTCTTCTTCCTCTCCCTTCTCCTCCAGACAAGGGCCACCTACAGGGAGGGGGACAGGAGGAAGTGGCCCTGACAATGCCCTGGGAATTCTCACAGCCACTGACTAGTTTGTGCCAATGTGTATTGTGCAAACATATATTACAATTTATTTTTAGGTGAATGTGTTGCTGATAATTTTTAAACTCCATTAAAAATATGCTTGGTATGTCCACGTTCTTTTTTATTGTTTTTCCTTCATTCTCAGGATACCCGGATTTTTGTTAGCTTGGAACTGGACCTGGCTTCTGTTGATCTGGTTTAATGAGGTTCTACTGTATGTTACGTTTCAATAAACACCCTATTAATATCTTGGCTGTAAGTTGTTCATAACAGTAACATATAGCAAATAGTCATGGTTCAACATAGATTGCAGCACATTACCTCCTGATTGATTGAGATACAACACCATATTTGGTGCACACCAGATACATTGTTAAATGATTTTAGTGTTAATATCCTGAGCACAATAGTCTTACAAAAATACACAGAAAAAAGGGAAGAAATTAAGCAAATTAGACGTACTTTACCATAAAAATTCCTCTCAAAAAATAAACTCAATACTAACAAAATTATTTTATGACTAGATTATGCTTTGGAATAATATGCTAGGTCCTTTAATAAAAACAACAGTAAACAAGTGGTGCAACAAAACTGCTCAGAATTTCTTGTATTATTAGTAACATTAACATAAAATAATAATTACATTGCAAATTATGTACATTTAATATTTAAACTATTATGCACAAATCTCTATTCATTGAACTCTTGAAACAACACACTATGTCTACTAATTAGTTTCTTCCCAAAAACATTCTATGTAAATATTTTCTTTCTTGTTTCATACAAGGCCGCACGTTTTTAACATGCATTGCAAATCTTTTTATCTGAATAACATTCATCAGGATGCACTATCACAGCAACATCATTTGAAAATTTTTAGCTTTAAAACCTTTTACCATTAGTTTTTAAAATAACAAATTTTTCAAAATGAATTTAACCCAACAGAAAATGAGTAATAATATTCAAAGATTTTCACAAAAAAGGTGTCTGTTTAGTTTTCATTCCTGTAATATTTTTATTGTAGATATTGTATTTTCTCAAAAAACAAGAACATTAATTGAAATCAATTTTTCAATACTGGCAGTTTTAATGTTGATATATACAGGTTTTTAAACAGATGAGTGGTTTTGGTGTAATTTTGAATCTGATGTTATTAATTTTATATTTTAAAAACATTGAGCAAATTTTACATTTTTAAAAAAATTAATAGATCAAAAAATTAATGACATTTGTACAATTTTCATTCAAACTTTTGATTTTTCTAAAATTATACTTGCAATGTTTTGATTCATGTCACACATAGTTATTATTTATAATACACGAGTATTTAATGCATTTTTTAACACAACTGTTTTTAATATTCTCCAGTAGTTTCTTGAAATCTCAAACATTTCAGAGTGATGATAAGCCCAAGATACCACCTTTTCAGAAACACTGATAATTTCAGTAGGATAAGAGGTTTTTCTCTATTATAATGTTCCAAAAGCTACATTTCAATTAAACTATTAAGAGACTGAAGAACGGAGAAACCTAGAAACAGAATTGGCTCCCAATATTGAAATTAGTGGTGTTACAGAATGGAACAGACTTTCATGTTTTAGTTTTCTATTTTTTTTTAGTATGGGCTAGCTATTTAGACTTGCCACATACTCTTCCCAGCTGCCATCTAAAGTATGTTATTTTGAAATTGTCTCAGTTTTTCGGTTTCATAATAGTATAACTAAAATGTTACTTTAAGTATATTAAAGAAGAGTAAAACATCATCCTAAATGGCAATTTTCATTGAATAATATGGAATAGGTTCTAAGAAAATGGCATGAAAGTGTTACAGTAAAGGTGAAATTTGAAATTGTTTCACAGAAAATTTTTGAGTTTTACTAGAAACTTCATTTTATGTCATTTGAAGCACTTTAACTCATAAATGCAATAGTGTTTACAAATTGCTGGAAACGCAGTATTAATGGCATGAAATACTTCAAAAATATTACATTTGTTTATTTTTTCAAAACCAAACAAAACAATACAGCACAACGAATTTTAAGATATTTTCAACGGTGCAATAGCACAATCCATTCCAAAAAATTGGAGGCCTTTTTGAGAAAATGGTGTTTGAGCATTTCTGAAAATGCAGAATTTTGAGCTCATTTTCACAGAGAACTGTTGAGTTTTTGAGACTCTTATCTGACATTATTTAAAACACATGAACTCATAAATACAATGATGTTAACAAATTGCAACTAATTTAAATATTAATGACATGAGAGAAAAGTAAACAAAATATTTTTTTTGTAATTTTTGAAAAAACAAAAGAATAGGGCAATATATTGTTTATGTCATCTTAGAGAGTACATATTAGCTACCACCCCTCCCCACCAAAAGGGCCCACTCATAACGCCCCTTGTCCCCTCCTCCGTGGATTTCCCTCACTGAAGCGGTGTGAAGTGTGGTTTAAAAGACTTCCTAAAGTTGTATACTAGACTTCAGCCCAAAACTGTAGTTGATTAATAATTTCTGTAAACCCTGTTTTACACAATCATTTTTGCATCCTTTTTTCATTGTTTTTCTATACAGAAAGCGGATGGAAAAAGGACATTCATTTCTATGCAGTATGTTTTGGTGCTGAAACTGGATGAGAGTGATTCCAGCGTTTTACACGGTCATTTCTGTCTTTGTACGTAATCATGAAGAAAATATTTCCTCCGGACGCCGCAAAAAGTGCTGAAGCTCAAACATTTGAACATTGCATCTGTAGTAACAAATTAAGTTAGGTTATATTAGGACCGAGCACGGATGCGACAATATTAGAATACAGTACATAATTTATTTCTCACTACATAACCATTACACATTACAATTCAACACACCAGAACGCTCTCACGCAACTACAAAATGAACATATTGCTCCACACGCATAACAAACCAGAGAAAGTTTTGTAAAGTGCCGCCAGGAGCGCGGTAGTCAAATTGGATGAAATCTGTTCTGAATAATTAAGCATGTGTTATTTTTTCATACAAATTGCTTATGGTCTGGTCCGTATCTTTTCTGTATCGGTGAAAAATGAAAAATTATTGTGTAGTACAGGCTTAACATTTGTCGATCTTTTAGTTTGAATATTTGTTTTTGTAATTATCACTTGGCGCATCTCCAAAACATCTGGATAGAATTAGGTAAGGACCAAATTTCATGTACTCCCAAAAGGACCGGATGAACCATGCCAAGACAAGTGTATGAAGGACAAAGTGACAACTTGACAATGTACTAAGGCCCAAGAAACAATTTGACAAAAACAATGGATGAAGATTCTGTTAACCCCAAAGAGAAAGTATTGTGCACTATCATGTGAGCAATATAATTATTATTTAAAACCATCTAATACATTATTAGAATTCATAAGCCCAATATCCCTAAATTTAACAATAACCAAAGAATACACAATATATGTATTTATGTGAAGTTACCTTTTACACTTTGTATTGGATCCACAACAACAGCAACTGCCCTTTCAGACAATGCCTCAAAACTCTGCTGAGTATTAATATCGACACCTGAAAGCCAACATCCAAATCCAGGATGTGAATGATACCAGCCAACCACCATCTCAGGACGGCCTGTTTGTTTAAGCATATCCAACATTTTTGCTTGAAACACTGGGTCAACTGCTTCTACACTCACACCCTATGTTTAAAAAAAAAGTATAAACCATTCATATTCTATGAAATACAAGTCATAAAATTTAAGTACATTTTCTTTCATATTTTAGAAAATTAAAATAAACATATTGACTTACTGTTCCAGTTTGAGGCATAGCAAATACATCTATCACTCTCACAGTGTAATCATCAACAAATTCTCCCAACATTAAGCCCATAACTTCCATTGGCACTCCAGCACGTCCATGCTTCAACATTTTAAGTAAAGCCAAAGACGAAATGTATACTTGTTCTGCAGTATCCACAACAGGAGCATCAGAAGGGGGAGGTGCCTGACTCAACCCAGGCATACCTCCTCCTAACCTCAGTAAACGATCCATTTGAGAACTTTATTGCCTTCTACAACAAACATAAACGGTTTTGTATTAATTTCAACCAAAAACTACTTTTAAAGATCAAATAAATCTAATCAATAATGCCATGCAATCACTTTTCACTGTACATGTTTTGATTCGATCCAGAAGAACATTATTAACATTTACTTACTTCAACTACCACGCACAATTCGTTGCTCGATCGATCTCGTAATTACACGGTATTGCTATGAATAAAACACGTACAACTATCACAGCTTATGCGCAACTAACACCACAATTTGTGGTCCACAAAGCATGCAATATGACAACAGGATCTATCAAATTGTGCAGTCTCACAAAACGATGTAAGAGTAAACAAAGTTTGAAATATAAGAAATTCGAGACGTATACAAGGCGGTGGATTTAGGAATGAACATGGCACGGAGTTACCAATTTGTACTGTGACACTCTAAGCAATGCATATTCCGAGAGTGACACGAGCAGGACCATCATTCAATGTGATGTGAAAACATCAAACGCTCCAGCCGCAAAGGTTGCCGCAAATATAACTGAAGGTATAGGTTAGTTTACCTATTGCTTGAACCTGCAATGTTCAAACTAGTACATTGTGCAGAAATGTCAATGGAGCAAAACGAAACTGAGAAAGGCGTATTGCCAAAAAAATTAGGGGGAGGCCCTTTTGGTCTTGGTATGTAAGAAATTAAGTTCAAGTTTTGAGGTCGATTTGATTCAGAAAGTTGTGGATTGAGTTCATTGTACCCTTTTTACTTTAGGAGACCCTGATGACAGAAGTCTGAGGAAGGTTGAAGTCGAAGTTCTTATTCCTAAGAAGATGAGGGAAAAAGCAAGAGTTGATAATTGTGCAATTGAAACTGAAGGTAATATCAGCTCTAGTATTTCATTTCCATAAAGATGTTGATTTCGCCTCTGTCCACTTATAATTTGGCCAATACTTGAGAATAAATTATTTCAAGACATAATATAAGCTTGTAAGGTTGCGAGTGGGGTGGGGTTGATTGGAGGAATAATGACCAGTACTCACACGGACATGGGTTCAAAATGTGGCTTATTCATGTGAAAGTTATGGGAGTCAAATCACACTTAAGGCTTTTTCTTACCTCTCGTTCCATTAAATCTCAACCATTTAGATCATCACTTATGACTTGTGCAGTTGAAGAGCCTCTAAACTACTGATGAATAATAGAGTAAATTGTAGTGATGTGATATTCGCGTGCCAACTTAGTTTTGTGCCCAAGGTCATAATTGGGGCAATGTTTGTTTATTATTTAATGTTTCAGCTTTCAATAAATGTTGCAAAGATGCAAGTCTTGCAATGGTTATTAAATGTAGAAAAGAAAATGCTGCCCTTAAAGACTGTCTGGGCAGGTGGTACACAAATGAAGCTTTCAAGCAACAGTGTACCGAGGAATATCTGCAGGAGCGAAGTGAATTTCGTAGAACTGGCAAGAAACCTGATAGCAAAGAATAAACTTCGGGACTATATTTTTTGTGCAGTTTGTGATTGTGATAAATACTGTAGTTATTGCATGCATTTGTTTTATATACTGTAAATAATGGGAGATTAGAGTATTAAAGCATTCATTTATTGTAATTTTTTCTAAAACTTAATGAAACCTATATATATATATTTTAAAGGTCACTTAAAATATAGAGCAATAGCCTGATACTTATCACTAAATTTGTTTCCTTTCCTCATTTTATATTCTTTAAAAACAGGAATGCCCTTGTAGGTAAGTCCTTTCAATTGCTGGTACTTATTGATCCCCCCCCCTCCCATACGCAATTTTAATACATATTTCTGAACACCTGTACTGCTCTGAGTATTCAAATATAAACATATGAAAGTTATTTACGTAGCTTTAAGCAGGGAGACTCCTGATTATTGTACATATATACATACACACACACATATTAAAAATTATACTCGGACCTAATAATTTACAGCGAAACAATGTTATGCATTTCATTGATATGTCTTATTTTTTTTGTTTATTCATTTATTTACAAAGAGCGTGTGGCTAATTTAAATATCAACACATTTTGCTGACACAGCAGCCTAACTGCATAATTTTAACAATTATTGACGCTGCCACAAAGCATTAAGTAATATGTGGACCTGGAAATTTGTTAGACTTTTCCTTAGAAGCATCAATCAAGCTTTAATTCTTTTACATGCCACAATCTTCCGAAGAAAGGTGAACAAGGACCTTAAAATCATTGAAAATTCATAGCTTCATTAGAATTCAAACACACAAATGATGTAACACAAAAAGTTGGTTTCTAATTTTAATTATTTTACTTATCCATATACAAAAAAGCAGGGTTTATGAACATATATACATAACTTTGACATCAGACTCCACTCATGAGGTTTCAAATTTACTATTATATACTACAAGTTTCTATTCAATTTCTTCTTTATCCAAGAGTTCTCGTTCTTGTGAAGAGATCCATCGCCTAGTCAATATTTCTTCAACACTAAATTTCTTTATGTCTTCAGGAGAATGTACATCTTTAAAAAGGACATCTTGAGGCCAAACTATTCGGCATAATATTACTTCCTGCAAAACGAGAGTACAATATCTTTCAATAACAAAAATAAGAAATAAATACAGCAAAACCTGGACAAGACACAAACCTAAGCCAGGAAAAAATTTAAGAATGAACTATTTTCCAATGCATAGTACACTGGATAAGACGGAAAACAAATATATTGTTTTAAAATTAAATATTGGCTAGCAAGTGTGGAGACATTGTACCACGAGACACTCAAGAGCTGTGTTTATCCATTCCCTTTCTCAGCTAACCTCATTTGAACATTGTATTTCCCACACTACTTGTGTGAAAGCCATTGTTCATCTGACCGTGTGAAGGAAGACCTTACAAAGAGCGATCCTTCCACAGTTCTTATAATACATGCTTTGGATTCAGTGGTTCTAAATGTTTACTGTTTTTCAATTCGACAAGTTGCAGGTGTTGTGACATTATTAGGCTAATTGAAGAACATGAGCAAAGCAACATTTTTGTCAAGATTTTGATAAACTTGAGTTTTCCCAACTTGAAAATTTCTTTATGACACCTTAAAAACAAAGACAAAATCAAGAATGAGTTGTTAAAAGGAATTTTTTATGGGTGGTTACCACAATATTCACGAGGGACTACGCAAATAGCTGAAGTATTGAATTGGAAAATTAGTATTAGAATATTTTGTATTGTTAAAGAATTATTATTTTGATTACATTGATTTTGGTATTTAAAGAAATGTTAAAGAATTATTGTTATAAATTGTATGAATTACATTGTTAATAATTGTTAACATTTTGCAGTTAGGCTGTGGTGTTAGCAAAACATGATATTTAAATTAGCCACAGCCTATTTGTAAATAAATAAATTACATTAATCTTAAAAGTCTATAAAAACTATTATAATATCACTAATACATTTTTGTGACATATTAAACAGTTCAAATAACATTAAAATACCTTTCCTGCTGTTTCTGCCATTCGATTAAGGCTAATGAACTTGGTCCAAGAAACAGGCTGCTGATGGTCTTCACTGATGTTTCCATCTTGTCGCATTACTTCAATAACAACTATATATGAAGCATGAGTAATATTTGAACCCCATTTATAAAGAACTGAAAAATCAAACAAATGGCTTTAATGATAAAATGTCTCAAAACAACAACAACAGGAAATACAAATAAATTTTTCCCAGAATACAGTCAGTGGCCCTATATCATTTTTCATCCTTGGCACTCAAATACATGACAATCAGAATAAAAATTATTCTCTACATCTATTCTCTCGCAAATTTATGAAATCAAGGTGAATATGTTTTAACACACCCCTTCCTCTAAATTTTTCTGATATTCTTTCTTTTTGTTAAAAATATTGAATTGTGGCAAATCTTTCAACATGTCATCCCAATACCATCTGTAAACTACGTTTTAAGGCAGAAATTCTCAGAAAGGTTTAATAGATCATTTAGAAGCAAAGCACATGTTGGATAGTCTACAAGTAAAGAAGTAAAATACACTTCAAACTCCAAGGTTAGAACATCACAAAGGATAAATATATTTGTATGGTGCCAACATCAGGTATACACAGTTCCATGGATCAAATTACATTAATATCTGTAGAAGACAGTCCAAACCAAAATATTGCAAAAATGTTGATGAGGCAAAACTGAAGTCAATATTTTTCTAATTTGCGGTAATTTATTAATTAAACTTACTGAAATCTCCTCCAAACTTCAGTCCAGGTTTCACAACCCAGCCTTTTGATCTATAATAGTGATACACCACATACTTCTGAACAAAATCATCTTGAGACTCACAAAACAATTCCCATGCCTCTTGTAAAGATAACTTCTTGTCAAATAAATCAACAATCTCTAGACAACCAAGTCCATAACTCAAAAAATAAGCTTCTTCAAGATTTAAGTGCAAAGTTTCTTGAAATTCAAATTTTTCAGCTTCTTCAGACGGCAAACACAAGTCATCTGCGGTAGCACCGATATCTTTATCACCATCACTATTAGACTTGACTTCCTCTACATTTGTTTTTGTATCCAGCACAGATTCCTCACTATTTACAGCAGATTCAGATTTATTTTCTGTGTTGTCGCTGATGCTTTCCATATTTTTGATTAGTTCATCACTAGTTTTAATCAAATGCAAACACTTTTCCTTTCTCGCAGATTCTCTTAAATAATAATTTGGCTCACCACGAGACAAAGAACCTTTGCCAAAACAACCCTGAAAAGAGAACATAATTTTAAAAATCATAAATAGAAATAATTTAAAAAAAGTAATGAAGTAGGTTATATTAGGGACAAAATTTTTCTGTTTAATGAAAATAATAGAAAAGCCTTTTGAAAGAGCAATACAATTCTTAAAAGATAACGTCAATAAACCAATTTTTAAATACAACATGCAACAAGTGTCAATATAGATTTTGCCAAAAAGGAAATTTTGAAATGTTCAAATCTATTGACAGATCTTTAGCATTTTAAAAGTTTTCAAATCAGACAAGTAGAAAAATGCAATGAAAAATGACAGATTCATTTCCATTTTTGTGCAATTTTATTAGACACCATCAAACTCAAAATGCTCTTCTGAAAAATTTGCTCACTCAGAGAGAACCTCAATCATTCAAAAGTCACAATATATGAAATTGATGGGAAATGAACCATAAATTTCAAACAAAATAGCACAGTAATCCATTCTACATAATTACCATGAATACTTTCTCATGCAACATATTTCGAACAATTAAAAAAATTACAATTTTTTCGCCATGGTATACAAGAATAATAAATGACATCTGGATAAAGATAAAATTTCGTTCCATAGGAAGATTAAGTTTACATGAATAACATTCAATTTAATAACTAAATTATGTCCTATTTCTTTTACATTTTTTTGTCAATTACTCTTACTTAACCTTAAATAAGTTAATGTATTTAAATGCTAATTTATATCACATCTTACCAAATTATACACCACGTGCGTCAATTCTGGATTATCAATCACCACATTGCTTCCATTGTACTTTCCAATTATAGCATTTGGTCCACGGTAATTCGACACATTTTTTAAAGATTCGGGATACGGAACACAACGTTCTGCCCGAAATCGAGCAACGCCCTTCACCTTCGGAGGCCGCAATTCCATTCTCGGTGGCCAACTTGCTATGAATTTAAAGCAATGTGAGTTGCATTATTTTGAAAATGGAACTCAGCACAACCACGGCTGTGGCATAAACCTAAAATTCCTCAGCGACGATCTCAACATTATTTCGCAAGCCGGGGCTCACTCAACTGTATATCATCAACTGATTACAGCCTACACTGAAAAATATTTACATAGTCTTCTTGTAATAACACAATTTAAAATTAAGATAATGTAAACAATAATATTGTCAAGCAATATTGCAATTATTCGCACTTAATTGTGCAGCGCGCTAAGAACCACAAGACGTGTCTTTGGACCAAAGAATGTAAACAGCCGAAACGTCACAACACGTTCGCCAACTGGTAGAACAACAGAAAATCGCCATGCGATTTATCATAGGCCATCGTAGGTCATTGGACAGCAAGGGCGTTTTACTCTGTTGCAATTTCTTTTACTTAGTATTTTTTTAATGTTTCATGGTAACATATTTATTCTTTATTTTACATTCAATCCAGAAAACGATAATGCAGTGAACTCTACCATGTTTTGCTGACGTTCTTAAGTCAAAAAGGGGGTGTTGATTTAATTTATTTTCGTCAAAGAACAGTAAAAACTGTATGTGACGGGTAGGAGAGAAGAACAATCAATGCACGTTTTCTTTAGCTGCAGAATCTCTTCCCTATCTGTAAACATAAATTGTTGGATGATGAATAAAAGAAACAAAGAATTTAAATTTAATAGAAACATTGCAATCAGTCCAAGTATGTTTATTTCAAATAAGTTTCCAGAAATTGTCGCTTCGTATGAATAGCCCATCAGCATACGACGAGTAAGTGGTAAGTGGTTGTAGTCGTATGTCGATACCCAGGAATTATTATAGCTATAATGTCAAATATACTAAGTTTTTTCTAACGTATGTATTAAGTTCACTTCTTATCTGCTGGCCTAAAGTAGTACGAATTGTTTGTCTTTAGGTCTTAGGGCCCTGAAAATTATCCTCGTGTGTTGACTATGTGGGTTGAGTCTGTACCAGAGAAACATTTTCTCTGCTGGTTGATGTCGGGTTGATTGACTATTCCGAGCGCGTCAACTGCTAAGGTCGCTGGTCCCGTAAGTGTAGAGCATTCGTTTTCCTCGGGAGGTTATCTTCCCCGCTGGAATGTGAGATTCGGCGCCGATCTACACGTCAGTGGGGTTTTCCTAACCAGGTGTTTCCCATCAGCGTGTCTTCACCCCAACCGGGACAAGGTCTAGGCTCTCGACCGGTCTCCCATCATGCGTGGTAGTGTAGTGCATGTGAGCGTAAATTTGTTTAAGAGGAGAGGATGAGACGAGGAAGAGGAAGATATCGCGCGTGGTCTGTGTCTTGTTAGGGTACTACTCCGGCATTCGTCTGGTGTTGATCCAGTAATGTTGATGCCCTGAGCCACCTTAGCCAGTTTGATGTCGGAGCTGGTTTCTGGGCGACAGGGTTCTCGATCGTTGTCATCACTGTACTATAACCGGTTACATTTTCAGTGGCCGGGTCTGGTGTCTTAAAAAAAGTGGTGGCATAAGTATTGGCTGGGAGGCGGCTGGGAGGCCCGCGTTGGTCTTCGTGCTGGTGTCGTTGGTCTCCTCGTGAGGGACCCTGGCCCCGCTGTGTTTGATGTCGTCACTGTCGCCTGCTACGCTGTAAGTCACTGTCAATGTTCTTTTATGAGTCTGATCCGTGATTGGTCCTTTTTTGCAAGGTGAATAGGAAGTTTTTGAACGGAGAAACGCTCGACAGCCCTATCGATCTTCTGAGCAATGCACAGTTCGAGTTTTGCATCCCTTTTGTGTATCTTCGCATGTGCAAATGATCAAGATTTCAGTACAATAGGGTCTGCCGAGCAAAAGCGTCCTTTTGTCATTTCTGTTATTTGCCAGGTTTATTGTTGGTATCAGTAGGGTTCTCAATACTAGTGGTGGAACTGGAAGGTGACCTGCCTGCTGCCCTCAACACCTTCTGTTTTATTCATTACGGCCGCACGCGGATGCAGTTATCGCCTGCGGGCGCAAGCGTGCACTATAAACGCTCCTACAGGCCGACGCGGAAGACCCGCATCCTACGCGGAATGGACGCAGTGAAAATTTACCCTATGAGCACGTGTTGCCTTATGAGCACGTTCACACCTGCACGTCAGGCGAGGTAGCGGTTTGGCAGCGTTTTCTTTCTTGCGGATTTGGGAACACAGTCGGAAGCGTTTCGACCGCTGCCGCTCGAGTTTCGAGGAAGTCCGCCCGCCTTTGGAAGTCTTCGCTCCCCTCTGGATCGATCTCCCTTGTCTTGGTTTATCGAATGAGGAAAACTGTCACCAAACGTCATAATTGACGCTTCGGCGTGAACGGTCCCGCGGATTCCGCCGCCGTGTCTAGCGCGGATCGTTCCGCACCGCAGCCGCTGCGAATCTCCCGCGCATGTCCATGAGAGCCTTAAATCGCAGCTGCGTCGAAATCCCTTAAAGTTACAGTGCGAAAAATATTATCGATCACCATCGCTCTCTCTCCGCAGTTGTGTCGTTTCTTATCGCCACGAGACGTTCAATTACGTTGTAAGTTTGATACATTTGCGGAGACGTACCTGTTATTGCCGTATTATTTGAAAGTGGTTCTCCACCTGAGTGTTTGAATGATGCTGTTGGGTTTGAGGGTTTTCAAAGGTCATTTTTATTTGCCATAGATCAGATGCGTTGCCAATTTTTGTTTTTTCGATATACTGTTGCATTTTTTCTTTTCGGTATTTTTTGACAGAAGGCGTCTAAGGTGTTGGTATTTCCTCTTCACTGCTGGTTCTCCGATAAAAGTGGCGTTGTGCGCGGCGGCTTTCTTGTATTTACGTTAGTAGGTCTGCAGGTGATAAGGTTGTGGGGCAAGAGGATTTAATGGTAAACTGTTTGAAAGCTAAAAGGATTTGATGATTTATAAAGCCGATGGCCTGTTCGATGCTTTTTGTGGTAGTAATATCCTGGATATAAGTTTGCGACGAAATTTTTGAAAGAGGACCAATGTGTTTCAGATATTGTTGTTGGAGATAGTAGATAAGGAAGAGGCTATTTTGTGGAGAGAATTTGGGGTCATTGGGTGATGATTTGATGCAAGTGCTTGAGGTCATCGAGGAAAGGTAATGACTATTGAGGGGAAGTGAAGCGTAATGTCTCGTATGTCGGCAGAGATAAATGAGATGTGTGGTGTGATGAGAGGGGAGGAGAGAGGATGAGTGAGCGCAACTGGAGCAGTGATCATTATGTTATTATTGTTATATACTATGTCTACGCGACATCGTACATCACGCCTAGGCGTTCAACTGCAGGTTGTGCAGTTAGATGCGTTTGAGAGGGGCCACGAGAGATGCGGGAAGTCGGTTGGTCTTATCGCCATATTCGAAGCCAAACTGGTCGTCGCCGGCCATTGGCAGCAATGAATAGAGGAAGGCACGCCTATACGACATGCGAGATCTGGACGTCTGCCACACACCACGAGGGGGGGATGAAAGACAGATTGGCCACCGAGCAATCGGCTTCAACGACAAAGATATGTGCCATTTAATGTCTGTGCAGCCTGCTCTGCCATATCCTGTATATGCCGGTACTATCGGTAGGCGGATACATGCCTCAGAACTCGCCGCACGTCGACTGTTTCGACGCCTGCTACTCTCACTCCAGCAGCGTCGGAACAGACTCGTCTGTCGGGAACCAAGGACATGGGACCAAGCGGACTGAGAACGGAGCATCTTCAGTAACGAGTTCAGCTTCTGCCTTACTGGCTAGCAGGGTTTCCCAACCTAATGTCTCCCAGTGGAGAACCGCTCCAGCCCGACATGTGTGCTAGTGAAGTGGATGTGAGTGTATGTGTGTGTAAGGAAGAGGTAAAGATAAGACACGGAAGAGGAAGGAAAGATCGCGAGCGTACTTCGGACCGTTTGTTAGGTCATTCACCTCGTGTTGACCGGGGAAACCACGCAAAACTACCGATAAGGGCAGCCGGCAGCTACAATACTTGTACAGACATGTCAAGTATCAAACGCCTCGTTTAAGTGGAGACAACGACAATTTTTTATGAAAATTTTCATTTCCGTAAGACGTCTGTACACATTCCATATTTAAAGCGTTCTCCTGACTCTGCGGTTAGGCGTCCGGCACATTTCGCATATTAAGTTTATTGGACGGTCAAGACTTTCTGATAAGTTTGAATAATGTGATTCGTAACTATAAAAAACGGAAGCGAGGTGGAGATTAGTGATTTAGTATTTCACCGCATTCTTTTCTTTAAACCGTAATATCTAGAGTTGATTTTCTAGCGGGAGGATTATTCACTGTTCAGATAACAAGAAATGATTTTCATGGATGCATTGAAGCTTTTTCAGGCTGTGAACTGAAACTTAGAAGGGAATCAGTTCCAAGAATGGGAAGAAACAAGATGTGTAAAAAATATTGAAAAACAGAGAATTAAATGTTTTTGTATAAGAATTGTTTAAGTGAGCATTTGAAAAAAGACCGGATAATTGTGGTTCGGCCTGCAACTAGTTTATTTTATTTCTCAAAAGTAAGGTGTTGGGGAAATTACTGCTCTTTCACATACCCGTGGTATTGTGGGAGTTTATTGTTGTTATTTTAGTGAGAAGTACGTTTTAGGAATTTCATGAATGTATGCGAAATGTATGTCTCATGTTTAATAAACAATAGCAAACGAGGAAACGTTCACAGACCTTTCTCAGTCAAAGCCTGTCTTCAAAGGGATGTCAATTTTAAAGACACAAGAAACATGCTGCAAACATAACCCGGCGATGAGATTTCAATGAACATTACGAGGAAAAAGTTACAATCGAGGAGAGAAAAAATCCTACGAAGTAATGCAGTTACACACTAATCTCATGACATTTCTCGCGTTTTATTAATGCATTCATTAGTGTTCACAACACTGCGATATGCTCGTGCCTAACGTCTTAATGTTTTCACAGTTTTTTCATGGGAGATTAAAGAGAAGGTTCAGTTTTTATCTCAATGTGGGTGTCTACTTCTTTTCAGGGCAGTTAAAATGGGCGAGGTGGTGGTCTGGCGGAAATTGTGGAAAACCACCTCGACTTCGTGCCAGAGGAGGAGGGGCGTCGTAGGCTCGGCGCCAAAACGTCGCCCCGCTTTTCTCCCCCTTCCGCTCCCTGTGCCGTGCAGAACACTTTGTGAATTGAGAACACGAACTTTCTATTGATATTTGCAAAAAAATGTTTCAGTAAATATAGAGTGTATGGGGTGTAATAGGGAACGTGGTCGAGAGTCCACAATAGATACTTCGCAGACAGGGATCTCCTTGGTCCGTGGCTGTATTCCTTTCTCCGTGTCATGCGTTTTCAGTAGC